GAAATCACATCTAAACCTTAGTGAACAATATCATTGTTAGCTCGGCACATTTCTTCAGATCTGAAATACTATTTTTTATATGTGCAATTCAAACTCTTGCAAGCAACTGTAATCTGCAGACTGTAGTGTGTCCAAAATGTTTGAATCCTAACCTATATTTTAACTGTACTATGCAGCACAAATAATTTCACGGTTCTTTTCTCTATTGTACTTTGGAAATACTTCTAGATTAAGAAAAATACTTTGGAATATTTCTTGCTTGCACTGTATAAAACGAGTTGTATGGGATTCCAACCAAAATATTATCAGGAGGACAGTAGAGATGATAACAAATTAAAAAAAAAAAAAATTCTGAAATTGTGTGAATTTTCTGTCTACACAAAATACTACATATATGCATTCCTATGCATGCAATACAGCGATAGCTGTATATCCATCTCAGAAATTGGGAAACAATTTCCTTTAAAAGTTATTTCTTTGTTCTGGATAATTTACAACATATGTTTTTGTGAATCTGCCTAGAGCATCTAGTCTGATGTGGGTAGGTTAACATTAGCGCCAGAGTCTTTTGCTCATGACTTCTTGCAGCAGTTGAGCTTTCCTAGTCCTCTAAACCCACATTGTGCCCATGGTGCTTCTTTGCATTGTACATTTTAATGTTTTTGAATTGCATGGTAGTTAAACGCTGGGAAAAAAAACCATTAAATGAGTTTAGAACATCAGATCAGTTTGTCCAAACCATACTAGAGCAGATTGGATATTTTAGGCAGTTTTGCCAAGCAGGGATTCATCTTGAGCAATCGTAGTAACTTTCTGGTTGACTAGATCAGTCACAATTTTAATTTAAATTTCCCAAAGAGAGGCTCCATTTTCCCATGAAATCAAACCTTACTCAGTAGAATATACTAGGTAAAATCATCAAGATCTTCCAGGCCAAATAAATATAACTTTGGAAAGCTCTTTTTACTTAAATGGCATATTTCTATTTTATCATAAGGGAGCAGTTAACATAATTTCTTCATATTACATAGCTTAATTGTCACATTACCTGGTTAGAAACTGCTGAGTATATGTAAGTTCTGTCAGCAGAACTTAAATCCTGATTTAACCAAAATGTGCTTAGTGTGAATCACACTGTATATCAGAGTCAGCCTTAAGACTGTTGATATTTAAGGTGGTTAGGAGAAAAGAAGTATCTTTGTCCTATAATACCTTTAAGATCTACAGTTGGATGTAGAGTGCACACAGTATGCTTTAAATGCTCAGTTTTTCTTTAGTTTACGTTTCTGAAGTGATGAAATAGAGTGTATGAAAAAATAGGTTCAGTAGGGAATCTGTTTTTTACAGATATTCATTTTTAAAAAGTAAGTCTGTTAAAAACCTGTGGTAAAAGTTAATATCTGAGGCAATACCCTTAGTATGTGAAATGTAGTTGGCAAGTGTTTTTATGTGTGCCTGCTAGTTTGTACGCATGATGCTGATCTGTTTTTTGTCCTCGCTGACGGTTATTATATCTTAATGGGTGCAACCCTGCACTAATGATCCTTGTGTATATAAATTCTTCTTGTTGTGAGCAGACACCATAGACCACATAAAAATGTTTGCCTCAATTTCCCTGCAAAAAAGGATCTCAGAAACCAGACTTGGCCAAGTAACAGATTTTTTAAAGGTAGAGGAACCCAATAAAATTACCAGCTTTTCACAGCATGAGTCTACTTCCTTTCGACATATTGTGAGGTGTAGGTGAAATATTCTAACTGAACTGACAGTGTAAGGAAGACAGCTAACTAGAAAGCAAGATAAAAGTAAAAACTACCACTGATGATTGATATTGTAATAGCTATTAATTGTTTTGGAGCCTCTTTTGTAGATTTATGATACTTCACCAATATTACTAACACTTACGTGAATCTTGGTATAATGGGATTTAATGCAGTAAAGTGCCATAGTTATATTCACTGTATCAGGAAGAGCATTTTGAAAAATGTATCACGTTTTTTGTAATTATTTTTAATAATATTAAAAATGCATACTTGAAATTGGTTTTACTTTTTATAGAAAAACTAAGTTTTTGTTCCTTGTAGCTCTAAGGAAAAAGTAAAATAATTAAAATTTCTTTCATCTCCTATAATGTTTTTTTTTCAGCTGCCCAAACTCAAGTTAATTTATACAGCATACTGTGGAAGTATTGCACATGCTGTATTTTAAGGAGAATATGAAGAATGCTAAGACACCTATGAGTTTGGAGATAGCTTCCAACTTTCCAAAATTAAAGTGTTTTTTTTTTAAAGACCAATTTCCGTAGTTTTACACTTCTTCATTTTTGTCTCATGCTGCAATATTTATGATGCTAAATTTTGATCAGTTTGAATGAAAAAAGATATAAGGACAAAGATAAAGATAATAAAATGCATAGATATGGAACACAGGAGTCTGCTGTGGATTTTGGCAGTACTCGACTTTTTTGAGGTCTCTCTCTTTCTCTTTTAACATCCTAATATGGCAAACTTCATTGAATTCAGTCATATAAGTAGATTTTTAGCTGGCAGCCAGTCTGCATGGGCATTGCCAATAATACCTGGACTGAAAATATTTCCTTGCTACTTTTATAAAAATACTTATTTGTTCCAAAACATAAAATAATTCATATTAATGTCTCTTAACAGATTATTACTAATTCTGTTAAAAACGTGTTAACATATCAAATTGTATTTTATTATTTCAATGTCAGATATTTTTGCTTTAGTGAATAGTTTATCATGTCACTTCAATGTTAATTTGTTATAACTGTTATTAAGTACAGAGAAGTTGATCCAGAGAGTTCAGCAGAAAAGAAACATTTTGTAATTTTTGAGGCTTTCTTTTGTCTGGCTGAAAATATCAGTTAGACATAAATATATTGGTTTTCATATTAGTATGTTCTCTTTTTTAAACTATTAGCTATCATTTTAACAGTTCTATACTTAAAAGATCTACTATTACATGTTCACGTTTTGCCATTTCTAGTGTGAGTTAAAGTTAACCTTGTGTAAGTTGCTTTTCTGGAGAACTCTGATTTGCTTCCTTGCAAGTCAGTCTACCAAGTTGTAGTAAAAAAAAAAAGTCCATGTTGTGGAAGTAAATGGTAAGGCACAGCTGTGAAATATAAAATGACAGTAATAAAATGGCAGATAGTTCTCTTTGCAAGTAGATTTCACAGTATCCCAAAATAGGATGGAAGTGAAACTGAACTAAATATTTGTATTTTAAAGTCTTAATAATTAAATTTATTAGGCTGTGAAAACATTTTTCTGAGAGATTTTCCAGTTTCTAAGGTTCTTTTGAAATTTGGTTGGATAATACAACAGATAATGGAATTCATGCAACAGTCCTGCAAGGGCAAAGAGATGATCTAACAGATTCAATCCCTAATGCTTTTTCTTCAAGCAGAGAATTGTGACTAGCTCAAGTTGTTCAGATTTTATGTTTGATTAAGGTCTTTGATTTTTTTGAATCTTTGAAATAGGACAAAAATAGATGCAGATAAAGCTTTTTTGCACTGATACAGCCTCTCTCCGTATAATCCTTTTCTTCTCACCAAGGTGTAATGTCAACAGATGGAATCATAATTGACAGGCAAAATTTTAAAGCATTCTAAATGTCACTGGACCTTTTAATAAAATTAATTAGCCTGCCACAGGGAAAATTTACTAGCCTGCTGGTTAATTTCACAATGTAAAATCATGGGGTAGGTGGAAGAGTGGGCGAAAGCTTATTACTTTTAAATAATTATTTAAAGATGTGTGCGCCTTGCCCCTTTCAAACATGGATTACAAATACAGCAAGAGCTTTTAAAATCTTCTAAATTCACATGTAGTCAGGCCTCCATGCATAAAGGTGAAGAAATCTAATACAGTTGAAATTAAAAAATACCAGGAACTAGCTAATGGTGATTTACTGGTTATGTGGAAAATTGCTAAAGGCTTTCATCTTGGTCTTTCTGGCATTAACGTTCCCGGTCACATTTAAACTGAAGTCAGTAGCTTGGAAATTCTACCCAGTAGTGTTAACAATCACGATAAAATGTTGATTTCAGAAAAATGAAAAATCCTAAGTTATCTCTATGCTATTGTGCACCCCTTAGCTTACTGGAATTTCACATTTCAGAGCATTAGGTGAACTGTGAGAGAGCACTAGAGAGCACCACGAACCAATTCTGTTAAGTTTTCAAAAACAGTCCCAATACATTTCCTAAGCGGTAGTGGGATTTGCAAATGTTGGAAACATATAGTGCCATATAATCCACAGTGCCATATAATTTGGCATTAAGCAAGAAAACATTTTGAGACTTTTAATTTGTGGTAAAGAGGCATCAATAATCATTAAATAGTATGGTATAGTTCAGGTATGTCTATGTGAGGTTTAGAAGTCTTTAGCTGGAAATTTTCCTGTGGGTAGTTTTCTAGTGGATAAAGCTAATTCAAACCTGAACTGCTTTGTGAAGATACCTTTAAAAATCTGTAACATAATCTGACTTTCCTTGCAAGTTTATCTGCCTATCTGCTTCCCAAAATTGCCAGCTCCAAGATGATCTGATCTCCCAATTTTCTTATTTACCTGATCTCCCATGCCCATAGGCTAATCTAAATGGCCTAATTCTCAATTCCTTGCTATCCGGTCTTCTAAGCTGCCTTGAGATCTGGACTATTCACTGCCTGGTACCCAGTGCTGACAAGTTCTTCTGGCAGGCCTGCTACACAGGCTGCTGAGCACCTGGCAGGTCATACCCTTGACTGCCCAGTACACTGGAGAGTAGAAGAACTCCATTCTCCTGAGAGAGAGTAAATATAGTAAGTGAATGCTGTAATTTCAAGTCAGGACAAAAATAAAATGTTGAAAATGTTAAAATATTAATTAGATATAAATATTTCTTTCAGCTATCTCAGATATGTTTCATAGAAAGCAGAGTTGAACTCAGAGTGTGTTTTCTAGCATGTAATTTGTGATTGTATCCTAAATAGCTATCCTGTGTGTTGACGACTCGGTGGTAGATCTGGAAACACTGGAAGCACTGTATGAAAATGTAAGTATGTTGAGATAAAGCTGTGGTTAGTCAGCATAGAGTTCAGAATTTCAGACAAACAATAAATAAAGTTTTATTTTGTGTTTTTATTGTAAGCTAGAGATGTTATATAGAAAAAATCTTTAAGGAGCTTAACTATAATAAAATGGGTATCATCCAAAGATAGCCAGTGAGACGTGTATCTCTCTCACTTCTCAGTTCTTAAAGTCAGAAACTTAAAGCAGCAGAGTGCATTTGGAATCAGGTTAAAATGTACGAGAAGAGGTATCATATAGTAATGTTGTCTCCTGAACTGCCTGAAAAATACTGACCTTACTGAGGTTCTTATTCCTTTGTCAATGTCCTATGATGCTTAGGCAGAATTCAGTTTTGCTTAATCTGTGTCATGAACATACATACTTTTCAGATATTCATTATTTCTAATTTTCTAAGGCCTATTGTGAGCCAACATGCCGAATTTTTCTTATTCAAGATATAGGTGGCTAAAGCCACCTATAAAGCCACCTTTAGCCTTAGGTGGCTAAAGCCACCTAAGTCCAGGCATTGTGCATTGCAGCCCCTACCCAAACTGCTGCGTAGAATGAGAACGTTTCAATGTATGCCTGTATATAGAATTCATAAAGTGAGTCTGTGTGAATCTGGTTGCGTGCAAAGCATTAAGGATACATTTACACTTAGCTGTAGAAACATCTCAGCTGCCTCTCTGACCTAAGCTGAATCCTAAAGCACTGTATAGCTATGAGTCTTTGGTGCCGTGCTCTCCAAGGAGGGTCTGTTTTGGGGCCTGGGCTAGTGAAACTGAATGGTACTGCAAGGCACTGTAGGAATTTACCAACTTAGGTGAAAGCTAGCTCCTGAATCTTTATGCCTCACTTCTTCGCATGGTCTGAATGTGCCCCAAATAAAAATATAATTGCGATTTGCTGACAAACAGGTAAATGAGTGATTTATTAATTTCTTATAAGTTAAGTCATTCATTACTTTATATTAATTCACTCAGAGAGCACAAAAGGATGAACTGGAAAAAATCAAGCAACATTATCAGACCTCGAAAGAGGAAGAACTGAAGTTCCTGGATAAACCAGAACAGTAAGATTTTTTTTTTGTTAATATTTTATCATTGTGTAGTCTATCCCTTTGCTGATTGGTTAAAGAGGATCTTGATACATAATTTTTGCTAGCTGACTTTTAACTTCTTTTCTGTATTTCAAAGCATAATGTAAAACTTGCCTTTATCACATAACATTTTTGATACATTATAGATAATACTACATCAGCTTGGACCACCAGAACTGATTAAATAATTGAATATTATTTATGAACTGATTAAATAATTGAAATTGAATCAGTTAAAAAAAAAAATTCTGTTCCCATTTCCTTATCCTTTGAGCCTTAAAGGCTAAGTGTATCATAAACCAGAACCAGACTGATTTTAGTTACGTGGAAGAACTACACAAAGAGAGGGTTTTGGTGAGTCTGTGACTGAGACACGATGTATGTACTCCAGCCGTGCAGACTGGAGACCTACAGGCACCTTCCAGAATTCCTCTCCCCTGACTGTTGTAGGCAGTGAGGCGTGTTAGGATAAAACGTTTTTAGGTACTGCTCCTGCTGTTGTCATAAGCCTTAGACCAACATGAAAGTCACAAGAATCCCTGGAAAGAATGGTAACCTATGTTTTATTATAATGTATATGTTTGATTCTCACGCTTACCGGTGGCGTCTATCTTCTGCTTTGCTACTTTTTTCCCTTTTTACTTCCATCCTCTCCTACTCACAGTGTGATTTCCTGCCCTGAGGCCTCTCTGCCACCTTGCTTTCTTTTCTCTGTTGTCTGTTTTTTCATTTCTGCTATCATCAGCATAAGAAAGCATAGGAAGAGGAAGCATTGAAGCAGCAGAGGCAGAATATGATGATTGCCTAATGTCAGAATTAAAATGTTTTCATACCTTTTTTTCCCCATTTGAAGGCTCGTGGTGAAGAGCAGAATTTTTTTTCTCTTCCCACAAAGCAGCCAAATACTTGTTGCTGACAGCTGCATGCGGTTCACTGGGGAATAGGTTTAAAGCTGGGAGATGAGGCTATCACCCCGAGAGTAAGACTTAAGAACATGAATATCCCTGAAGTGTACATACTGGCTTGGTCACGCCTCCCGTGTCCATGGTTTTCACTGCCTTGGCTTGAAACAGAAGAATACATTGTGTGACAAGATGTTTTCCAGAGTTTGAATCTTTGGCAACCTGTTTTGCTGTATATCTGAGTGAAATAAATGTAAATGTATTTTATATTCTGGAAAATACGAATTTATTATAGAGTTCCAGAGTTAGAAAAGATCGTCCCAGTTTTGTAACTTACAGTGGAGAGAGGTTGATCTTCGTTAAACACAAAGTTTTATTCTATCATTGTTCAGCAGTTAAAAGTGAAGAACTGTAAATACAGCAATTATGCCTCATCATTCAGAGTGAAATAGTAGTATTAAAGACAAATACTCTTTATCAGATGTTCTCTGTGTAAGTCTTAATTATCCTATGTTTACCATGTTATTAAAATACATTGAGTAAAAAAACTGCCTTTTTGAAATGTTACTTCAAAGTGAAACAATTTACTGATGATGCACTAATATAATTTTTATTGGTCCTTCAAAATCATGTCCTTTCTGAAAACTCGGTAGGTCAGATGCTGCTGGTATTGTTGTCTAAGTCAGTCTCGATAAATGCAGTACTGGAGATTTGTTGAAACTGTAGTATACCTATTAACCTAAAAAAGATTAAGAACAGAAAAGTGCTAAATTTGTGTGTGGTTAAAGTTAATTGCTACAGGGCCTAAGCCTAACATGTATTTTCATTAATAAGAATCAGAATAAAAGCACAAACAAATCCATTTGTAAAGTGGTTGCAAATACTAACGATAGGCATTCATATACCGAAATTATTAGCTGGAATTCACTGAAGTCTAAAGGAAACCTTTGCCACTTTTTAAATGTTTTGAATTTCCAAACAAATAGAAAGCTTTGCTGGTATCATTAAGGGTCTCCTGAACAAGTGGTTTTGATTTGTTTTGCTGGCATGTTATATTTTCTATTGTTAGCACAACCTGTAAATATATCTCGGTAACATGACAATATCCCCCTTACTTATGCTTCATGACAATAGTTGTTAAAATGCTAATATTCATTAACATGATAAAGCTTTATATGCAAAATTGGCCACACCTTGGGGCTTTGCTAGCAGAATGCAGATGCTTAAGCTAGTTTCCAAGAAGTGCCTTTTAGCTGTAATATAATCTCTGTGAAGTTCTTGCTACTATGAAAGAAATACTAATAAAGGAAATGGTAGCAAAATATGGTACTGAGTTTTTCTGTTCTGTATGTACTTGGAGTTCAGGAAGCAGGGAGCTATTGATATTTGCAAATAAAATATGACTTTCTGTGCAAATAATGTCGTTTCCTTCTCTTATGCACCCAGTTGATTTCCTCTGACTTCAGTTAAAGTTCTGATGGCTTCCTGAGGAGCTTGCAGGGTTAAATCCTTTTTTTTCCACAAAAGTTATTTCTAAATTCGATTTTAGAATGTGGATAAATGTGAACTGGTAAATTGTTTACCTTCGTAAAGTCAGCCTTCTTTATCTATCTTCTGAATATGTTCTCACTATTGTACAAACATCATGGACATATGCCTGGTTTGAAAATACTCTGAAGTCCATTATTACAAGAATCTGGTAGGATGAAAGAGTTCTCAAGTAAATGTACTCTTTATTTACAATTTCTGCAGGAAAGGAGTAAAATGGACTTCACACAGATGAACAGCAAATTCTCTGTTTACTTTAGGCCGTGAAAAGTGTAGCAATGAGAAACCCATCAAAAAGTTGTGTTATGTCAAAGTCTTCTCATTATTGCTTTAAGTCAAAATTGTACTTTTCTTAGTATAAGACTGCAAAAATGACTGAACTCAGAATATTCTTTTCTCTCCAAAAACTTTTCCTAGGGCCCTCTTATTGGAATATATCTATCTTTTGATAATGACAGATTCATGCTATAACTTTCTGTTTAGTAACTGCATTTGTAGTCACTAAGGTTTCAGTGACAGGTTTTGTGACAGGTTTCAGTTACAAATGTTCTGTCTGCATATTTACTTTTGATACTTGAAACTCCAAAATCTGGAGATATATTCCTTTTTTTACTGAATTTCTTTTAGCTCTCAGCACAATTATCTTGTATTCCGATGATCAGAAGTGTACGTGATAATTCCCTTTTCAAAGGAAGGCAAGAACATGTGTCATTTGGATTTTTAAATTAAACTTTTAAAATGTATGTACATTAGAGCTGTTGTGAGGCAGTTTGGTTTTTTCTTTCTTTTGTTTCACTCACACAAAGTGCAGAATATCCTCTTGTTTCATGGCAATACCATTCATTCCCAAAAGGAAGCATTTTTATTAATACCAGCTTGGCATTTCTCTTTTTCCCACTGCTTAAGTAGAAGAGCCAAGCCTTGCCTCCCTAGTCCTTCTCTCACAATAGATTTTCTCACCAGGCAAGGCAGAAAAAGAAGGAAAAAATGAGAGTCCAATTAAAATGTAGTATTTCACACCAGGTACAGGTGAATTTTGCTGAGTTTTTTAGAGACTAACTGTGTATACAGCAAAACATTGCAAGCAGGAGAAATTATGAAGGAGTTTTGAAGGTACTGGTCTTATTTACTACAAAGAAGAAATAATTCAGAGAAATGAGATTTATTGGCTGAAATAATTTAAAAAATAGCAAAAATTCAAACTGGTAGAATAAGTGGTTCAGAAAATTTCCCAGAATTTGGCAAGATAGAAGTTTCTTTAAGCCATCACATTAATGGGATCTAAGGAAACCTGTAGATGGCAGATTCAAAGAATGTTTCTAAAGCGATATTGGAGCTAAAAACTGTCTTTGGATGTCATGAAAGCATGTACCACTGAAATCTTAGACTCAAAACCTTTACTCAAAAAAGTAAATTATGTAAATCCTGTTGTTATAAAAAAAATTTTAAATTTTCTTGTATTTTTAAGTGAAACTTATTTTATTTTAGATTGAAAAAGAGGAGGAAAGGGAGGAATTGTTCATTCCTTAGGGTTGCTTTCATTTTGCAGTACTCGAATTGGAGTTGTTGAATATACTTCTATTTATTTCTTTTTAACCAAACAGTTCAAGGAAGAAAGCTGGAGTGGACTCCTGAGGAACATGGATATGTGAGGACAGATTAAGCAAATGAGTTAGTAACTTTACTGACCAGTGACTGAATCTGCAAATATCTTAAAGCTAAATAGATGGATAGGTGCATTACTGTAAAACATGCTGCTATAATATTGAAGGTGTGGTGCAAATTAGTAAAAGAAAATTGAGGCTGAGCATCAGAAGAATTTTTGGCAAACTTTTTATGTTATGAAATAACTTTGCAGAAATATGTTGAGTGCCACATTGCTTCATTTTAAAAAGCACTCAGCAAAAATGCATTAATGAAAACAGTAAATAGACACTGTTTCTCTAGCTCTCTCTTACAGAGGGAAGAGCACTTTCTAGGATCACTTCCGAGCCTGAATTTCGAGCTAGAATTTTTTTTCAGTTTTTGTGAGTTCCAGCAAAGGTTCTTTAGGCCAGAGTTTCAAAAATATTCTTATGATTTCGTCATAGCAGTACCAAGCAGATATAGCAAAAATCTTTTCACAGACTTTCAAAGTTGTGAATCTCTGCTCAGGAAAATAAACACATCTAACAGATCAATCATTTTGTGACCTGTGGGTAACTATTTGCTGCGCTGTTGAACAGTCTCCTGTCCTTGCTGCTGCCATCGAGGCTAACCTGTAACATACCTAGATAAAGCTCGTCCAGTGTTTGGAGAAGCGTTAGGCTAAAAGGTATTTACAGTGTTATCCTTTGACACAGCTCATCCCTTAACAGGCCAGTTAATCTCCTTGATATACAGATCTTATTCATCCAGACTCTCATACACAGGGCAGCTTAATTGTGTGAAGGGCTGTGATCTAGGTTTATGATTTCTCTTTCTATTACTCGGCAGCTCTGATACTCACAGAATTAATATCTTGCTGATTTCTTGACATTAATAGCTATCTTCTTTATGTTCAATGTGTTAAGAGAGCCTATTATGAATTCTGTCAAATTTAAATTTTGATTCAAAGTAAGAAAGGTCACACTGTATATGTTTTTATTAATACTGCTTTGATTCATTGTATACCCCATAGGTATTATGAAATATAAGGACTTGTTCATATGGTTTTTTTCACAGATTTTTATACGAGTTATCTCAGATCCCCAACTTCACAGAACGAGCCCAGTGCATTATCTTCCAGTCAGTTTTCTCTGAAGGAATAACATCAGTGCACCGGAAAGTTGATATCATAACGCGAGTTTCCAAGGTAAGTCCTAATGGAAGCTAAATAACAATTAAATGTATTTTAGATTCTTTATGCTTTTTTTTTTTTTCTTACTGTAAGTGATGAGCCTTAAGCCTGGTTATTGGCTTTGCAGAAAAATAAAAACAGCTTCTTAAATTTCTTAATTGCTTATAAGAACAGGAGGTGAAGGACATGGGAGGGGTTAGTAATGTGTGATGCCCTACCTTCTACAAAGGAACATTAATTTTTACTTGAATGCAGATTTTGGTTAATTTGCACATTAAGTGCAGTAATAGATATTCTCTGTAAAATAGACATAATTATTGAACTAGATTAGTATGAGGTCTTCCAAACAAAAACAGTAAGGAATCTCCTTCAGTCCTGCATTAATTTTTTTGTCATCTACATAGTACACGATGCTGTACAATTTGCTTTGTATAGATTGAGTGAAAGATAATATCTTAAGCAGATACAGAATAATAAATTCTTCTCTTAAGTATCTGATCCTGTTCTGGTCCTGCACCAGTTAAAGCATGAAACACTTTATTGAAGCATAAAATTGCTCTAAACTTAAAATCATAAGAATCCCCAAATTCGATTTCCCACCTCTCTTTCAAACTGATGCACAAACCTATTCTTCCACCACTGCGATGTTCTTTTCAAAGGCTGTTTAAGAAGGTCATTGTAAAGGATAGACCTGACATGTTGAACATGAAGAGAATGATCAGGTAATTTGAAACCAAGGTTTTAAACTGTGAGAACTAATGCACCTACTTCCTTGGTGTAAACTTGATTATTCTTAAAAATGTGACTCTAAAACTGGTATTTTGGTATTCTGTATTTACAAACTATTGATTGCCTATCAGATTTTCTCAGCTGAATTGAATTTTTTGTAGTTGCCCACTGTAAGGGCTATGAGTAAAATTTGTTTATGATGGATGATTTTGTGAGACAAGGAAAAACAAGTTGAAAAGCAGTTAATTGCATGGGATATTTGATCAAACCTCTTTTCCAGTATTCACCGAGAAGTGAATAGGTTACAGGTGCCATAGATGAAGCCATTTTACTATAGAATGTTCCTTGTTGAAAGAAGGAATGAGGCTTCAGTCTCGTAGTCCAATATTAGTTTCCCTAGGCAGTAGTCACAATATGTCTGTTACTTTTAAGCCTTGAACAGAAGGTGTGGAAGTAAGAGATAAATGTGAAACTGCACCCTGCCATTTTTGCAGCTTCTAGGTTTCAGATCGAAATTGCAGGGATATGAATGACAACAGAAATTAGAGAAAGCTTTAGGGAAAGCAGGGAAATCTGGTTTTGTCATTCTAATTATGATGAAGAAAAATAGGAATATTTTTGTACCATCTGTAGTGACAAGCTCTCATCCATTTTCCAGGCTTTGCTGAACATGACGAGCGTAAAGGAAATTTTAGGTTTGATTCTGGCTTTTGGAAATTATATGAATGGTGGAAACAGGACCCGAGGTCAAGCTGATGGATTTGGTTTGGAAATACTCCCCAAACTAAAGGATGTCAAAAGCAGAGTAAGTGCTTATTTTTACTTACAGATCACTTTTCTCAAGCAATCTCTTTCTGTTCCGTCATCTGACAAAAGTAAAATCTTTTCTCATTTCTTACAGTTCTCTGCTTCAAGCGGCAAGGCACTTTATACCATTTTGTGCTTTTTTTTCTCCCCACTTTTCACCTCTTCCTCCTAAACATACCCACCTCTCTGTAAATCTCCTATTTCTTCTTTCCAGTGCCACTTGGATAATTATCTTACATGAAAACTTCTCTATGTTTCTTTTACTGGCGGAGACTAGTAGGTAGAGAGAAGCGAGAGAGCACAGACGGCTGAAGACTTCTCCAGTTGTCCTCATTCTTTTTTATTACTTTTAACTTAAGGTAGTTGTAAGGGAATATGCTTTAAAGGTCAAGTTTAAGAAACAAAATAGCAAAAGAGGAGAGCATCAGTGCACGTTATAAAGTATGATATGTAAGTGATATAAATATATAATATAAAGAATTTTTATTCTCTTCAGAAAGACTTATCAAACCCAACAAGGTATTGCCAGTCTATTTTTTTTTTTGAATTGGCAGATAGGTGGGTATAGAGCATGAATTCTGGACTGCATACACCAGAAAATCCTCACAGGTGGCAGTAAATTATTTTGTCAAAACCTGAGAACCACTAGCTTGTTTTTGATTATTGTGCTAAAATTAAAATCGGACTCAAACAAACTGAACACCTTTTGAGATGAGGTTGCCCTGTTCTTTTACCCTGTTTCAGCAGGGCAGAAAAGGAGATGCGAGGTCATGCAGGCAATTCAAACACTGCTCTGTGTCCTTCTCTGCCAAAGCATGCCTAAGACACCACATGGATATGGGAAGTAGCAAATAGCAGTAGGTGTTTTCTGCTGATGCCGGTACAGATTTGAAGGGAGAGAAGAAAAGTTATTCTCTCACGCTCTTCCTCTTTTCCTGTATGAAATGATTTCTGGAAGTATAATACAGGTGGAGTGTAAGCTTTTTTGCCAGTTATGGTGGATATACACAGGGATGCTCTCGATTTGGGAGGCAGGCAATGTGAGATAAGCAGTATGTCTAGGGAGGTTTTTGTCTTTCTTGTGAATACCCTCATGTAGGTTAACAGAGAGTAAAAAGAAGATGTAATAAGTTGTTCCACGAGCGATAGAATGAATGAAAACTTTTCCACTGGATTCATGTCCTTTGTCTCCTCACTCCTTTCTTCTTCACTGCAATAATTCAGATGTCCCTTGTAACTGCTTTCTTCCACCCCTGCTCCTTGAACAAGACAGTACATGCTGCAGGTAACGTAGAACCAGGCAGAGTTTCCCACTACTCAGGTGCTCATTGGTCAGCCGGTGCTGACTGCTATGAATAAAAATGTAAAACAGCTGAGCTTCGCCTGACTTTTCTCAGTAGAAGTACTAATTTTAGTCTCCCTCTTCTATCCAACATAAACTTGTAAGAATTGAATTATCTCTGGGACTTTCCAATTTGGCTGAATTTAACTGGCAGGTTCCAAAGTTATGAATTATGGAAGGGACTGACAAAGACACAGCATAATAGCTCGTTTTGCTTGAACAAATCTTATGCAAAACATTTACAGTATTTGCAGTTTCCCTGTAAATACAGTAGCCTGTCACTAGTCTCCAACATGCATAAAAAGCTCAAAGGGGCCAGCGACTATAGGCAAACAGGAAACCTCAGAGATAATTGTTAGACCATATTTGCCAGGAAGAGCAGAAGGTCTTGCTTCTTTGAACACTAAGATATCTTTTCTGTGTACTGTTATTCCCTTTCTGGGAATCGCCAGCAAGCAATATGATTTCCGGGCAAGCTAACTTCCAAGGGTGAAAGTGAAGAGTCAATGCTGAATATCTTTTATTTCACATAAAAGCCATTTGTTGCTGCGTGAGGCCCAGAAAATTACTTGGTATGGACATTTGAAAAAATTGTAGCTCACCACTTCAAAAATCTCTATATTTTGTCTTCTGCAAATACTATTTAAATTGAAGTGATAGGTTTGATAGTCTGACTTACAGAAAATAGAGTCATAGGCATATTGCACTTTAAAGGGGCAATCAGTTTGTTGTCTGTCACGCAACCTTCCAGCAATGTATTCTGAAAAAAGCTGTTGTAAAAGCAGAGTGGCTTTGTCTGTGTAAGAGCAATGACTTCCTTAGTTAAGAATTTTTCTGCTGTATGATATTAATAAAATGTAATATGCTGCAGGCTCAAATGTAAGCGAGGCAGCTCTATACAGGAAATCAGACATTGTGCACATACACACATTTATCCTGATACCTGTCAATATATAATATAAAAACACATCCAAAAAACATCAAAGACATTCCAGATAAAAGTCCTTATATTATGTTTCTTTTATGCTGTTGAATAATATCCTGTAATGTATAAGACACAGTTTTACCTTTTCCTTTAGTTCATCTGACCTATGCTGACCCAATGACATATAAGAAAATAAAATGTTGTTGCATACAGTAATAGTAGGGGAAGCAGGACCAAGGAAAGGGTGATTCCACAGAGTGAGTGTTAAAATTTGCGTTCATAAAACAACAGTGCATGAAATGCACTGGTTAGGTATATGCTGTCTGGTTTTGTGCTTGAGGTAATGTATGAGAAATACATGTGCCCCTTTCAGTTCAGTGTTACAGCTGAATTAAGATTAGAGGAATCAAGAAGTTCTGTTCACCTTAATAGCTCTGAGTTCACTATAATATTAAGTTAATATCTCTTACAAATGCCTTGTGTTATTAAAAAAAGAAAAGGAAGAATGGCAGCTTCTCCCACTGCATGGTTTCTGTACCAAAGGAAGCTCTAGGTCTGTGGTGACGCAGGCAAGCCTGTGGTTGTTATAAAAGATGGATTTTTTGGGTAAATAATGTTAGAGTTAAAGATATTGTGAGTCCTGTTTCTCACAGCAATGTAAGTTAATAGTATATTTCTTTTAATACAGTAAATTTTCACTTGAAACAGTTCTTCACACAGCTTTAACAGTTTTATGTATCCAGTTTAACCTCTTCACTAATGTGTCTGGTTTTTTCCTAGGATAATGGTATCAATCTTGTGGATTATGTTGTCATGTATTACCTACGCCATTGTGATAAGGTACAAGATTCATTTGCTGTGTCAGTCTCCTTAAAAGTATATTTCTTTAAGAGATTGTCAAAGGGGTTGTATTTATTTTTATTTTAATCTGAGTACAGTAGCTCCAACAGAAAAATAATACTCATCTCTCCTGCTTTTAATAGTTGCGCGACTTCATAGGTATGAAATTTGCTGCCGGTTTTCTGATAGAGTTTTGGAAAATCTTACATTAACTGTGGAACTTCTGGGATTCTCTTGAACTAAACGTCGCAGACAACTGCCTGCGAGTGTTGTGGGCTGGAGAGGGGGTCGTTCCAGGCCCGTCTCCTTACGCTCGGGTTGCTGCTGTAACACTGTAAATCTTGCTTTGATGTGATAATAATGGAAGACAGAGGCTTGATTTCTCTCTCATGACAGAATACAATGACAGGTTAGTACTTTAAGACAGGTGGGTCAGTTAATGGTGACAAAGTTAGAGATCGGAAATGCAGGAAGAGGTCCTGTTGCTTTGAATTATTTACGTTTGTGGAGCAGCGCTCAGAGTTTTGGAGTGCAATATTTGAACTCTTTTCTTTCAAATGACGATGTCACTATTAACTGCTTTTAAGAATTTTTTTTTTTTTAATTAAAAATATGCCTCTACCTAACGTTTGAATTCTAAGACCGGAATTAGTTTTCATGGTCCTGTCTCCAGTTGAATATGAACATCTTTTTCATTCATTTTCATTTGTCAGTTTTGTTCATTCTTATTTATGGATGTTGAATTGAAGAGTTAGTAGTCATGAATGTTTTTCCAGCAGGCTGAAGTAACTCAAGGCATCTCCAGCACTGGGGGGTCTGTGGGTCAGGAGCTTGTGGAACAACTCCTAAGGCTGAGCTGCAGAGACAAAAAACTACCGGTTATGTAGATCTGTACTCAAGAAAGGTTTTTGTTTTTGTTTTTCTCCCTGTAGCAGGGAAGCAAGGTGTCATTACTTTACCCTAAATAGCTTTCTGTAAAAATATGCTCACAAAAGCAATTTTGTGTACCCTCTGTGTTTATCAGTTCTCAGGCTATCCATATATGTATTGGTACCTCTTTTTCAGAGATGCTGAAATTAACAATTTAATTATTTAATATATCATCAGGTTTCTGCTAGACTGTAATTTTACTATGGGAATTTGAGAACAGAACAGTGTATCTCCTCTTGCGAGGAAATAGAGGCAATTTTATCCACTTAACTAATTTTTTTCCTGAATGTTCATGTCTTTATAAGAATGTAATTTTCTCTTTCGCTGTTCACAAAACAGTTCTCCAAGCTATAAGCTGTTCCTTATTTCAGACTGAAATCTGAGAACAGATAGTATGTAAACTCACCAGTATATGCTTGTAAAGTGCAATGTCATTTTAATACCATTTATACACTAGAATTGTTAGAATTTCTCTTCAGACAAAGCTTTCTTTCTTTTTTAATTCTGAATTCTTTTATTATTGTTCTAACTGTAAGGAATGTGCTTAGGAGTTCCAAATAGACATTAAACCATGTGATTAATTTAATCCCATAAACCATCAAGTATATATTTTTTTCTATAAAATATACTCTAGGCAATATATAAATTTGTCATAAAATCACATATTGCATTAAAATAGTTGTTCATGTTTTCTGGTTTTAAGAAAGTTTAATCCCTTATCTAAACCTTTACTGCTATGAAATTAACTGAAATTTTATGTGCTCACTGTTGTTTCGTAGTTTAAATTGAGCACGGTTTGCATTAAAACCTCCAAAAGGAAGTTTCAACATTAAAAATGGATATTTTTCACTAAGATGTGTTCTGTATCAACCACAGTGCTGAGCTGCAAAGCAGTTTAGGCACAGAACGCAAGGATGCATATGATGTTACGTAATACATCTGACGTTAAAAATCTGTGAGTTAAGGAATTTGTGTTTTTCTGTAGAAAATTAGAATATGACGATATAATCATTGTCCTGCAAAATACAGGCAGCTTGAAAATGAAGGTTGAAATCCTAGTCCTTGTCCAGTCAATGGTAATATTCTCATTGATTCAGTCAGGTCAGGATTTCATCTGAAATGATATATAATGCTATCTTAGCAAGAAATATTTTAAATGTATTATTTTTGCAGTTTTATAGTGCTATTTTATAGTTAAGTTTTGAAAACAGTAATTCATTTCACTGCAAATGTATTTAATTTTCATAGTGGCCTGTTTGTTTGTTTGTTTGTTTAGGAAGCAGGAACAGACAAGAGTATTTTTCCTTTACCAGAACCACAGGATTTTTTCCAGGCCGCCCAAGTTAAGTTTGAAGAGCTAATAAAAGACTTAAGGAAACTGAAGAGAGATCTAGAAGGTAACTGGGAATTTTCACATTTGTTCTGCTAACAACTAAGTGCCATTTAAAATGTGACCTTTATGAGGTTTGCTTATTGCTAATTAGCTTTATAGTGCTGACTCATTTAGAGGTTTTACACTGTGGCACAAATTGGCCACATAAAATAGAAGAAACGATTTTAAACTCAAGACTTAAAAAATGAAAGTAAAAATATTGAAAAGTAATTCTGTGTAATTCCCTTTTAAAATCAAATGGCCCCTAAAATAAATCTCCCTGAAATTTTCTTCAGTTATGTGTGAATTTTCCTCTGACTTCTCCAGAATGCTGCATTTAACTGTAGGTATCTGTTAGTTCCATAATGTAAATACTTTCTTCAGCACTTGTATAACAACAATTTAACAGTTACAAGAGAGAGCTTGAACACTATTAATGTAGAAATAAAACACAGCTTGCCAAGGCACTGCAAAGGGAAATGGAAAGCTCTAGTTCAAAATATTTTCACCCTGGGACATAAAATAAACATTTTAAAATGTTTATTATAAAGAGGGGCTCAGAAACCCAACTCATCTATCAATCAAGGTACTGAGTGGAAATGAAGTAGGAAGGGCTGCTGTCTAAGTGTTCCAGCCAGTTTCGTTTTTATTTTGTACTTCATATGACTTTTTAAAATAAACTCCGCGAATGATGACTGAATATTTTAAGCTTGTCACTTCTGTTAAGGAAGAGTAACGCTGAAGCAGTGTTATGTTGAAAATAGAGTTCAGGGAGAGAATCTGCATCAAAGCCTATTAAAAACAACTTCTCTGTTTGCATTTAGATAATATAGCCCTGCATCAACATGGAAGAGTACTTTTAGAGTCAGAGTTGAACAAAATGATTGTTTTTAATTTTTCAATGTAAGACAATGAAAAGCATTAAAGAATAATTTATCCTTACAGTTAGAAATGGCTGAATTTTGTCTGTGCCATCTTTAGGATGGTTTCAAAGGTTAACAGTGGTAGGAAAGTATCAGTTGTTGTTTGTTCGACCCGGGCATAAGCGAGTGCTCTATCTCCTCTCATCGCTTGGCCCTGTAAAACCCTTGGCCTGCCCTCTCTTAGGCTAGTTTGTGCAGAAACATGATCTGTGTTTGATCTTGTACTTTTTTAGTGTGTTGTCCTGCTGCTATACGTCTTAGTCTTGCAGGATCTGTACTGAGGCTTTGGCATTCATATCATTTCTGTTCTACGTTGCAAGGAGAGAGAGAGAAAGTAGGAAAAGTGAATGCGCTTTAGCTAACTTTGCAAATAATAACCGCAACTGTCTTTAATCACTCATTTCTGTTTGAACATGATATTTTCTTAGATACTTATAGAAAATGTAGAAAAATTGCTATGTTGAGCTTGTTTATGTAATACTTCTTTGTACAGATGTATCTGAAACCCAGCAAAACCAATTAACATGTAAAGTTAATGACAGCAAAGATTGGAAACAAAAAAGGTTGTGGAAATGTTTTCAGATGTTGATATTTTATCACCCAGAAACATGCAGCAAAATTCTAACAAGCATTCCTGTAACTAATTTCTCTTGTATTTAAACAACGAAACAGTCATGTAAAGATGTATCTCTTTCAAATAATGCCTTTCAAATTTTTCTCTTTAGATAATGCTGTAGTTTATTTTTAAATAAAAATCTTAATTGAAGAGGATATAATTTTAACACGTACAACAAAGATTTGATGAGTCTCTGTAGTTTATTGTAGCCATTAAAAAGTTGTGGCTGCTGGCAGAATACCAGTGAAAGTCTAAAGCTGAAACAGATGTGACTAGCAGAAACCAAGTCCAGAGAAGCGTCGGGCCCAGCTATCCAGACAGGCGCGGCCCTTCAGATGTGAATAATTTGAACGATATTAACTGGAGCTGCCTGTGCTATAGGGTACATTGGATTTACTTTACAGTTTGGTTGGCTAAGGTAGTCGTAAGCAGATTACCCTGAACGTGGGATGAGACACAGGTAATAAATGAAGGAGGGGTTTTCCTATATGCCGCTAGGGAACAAACTGATGTTCCTGTGAGTGAGTGACTTATGCCAAATCTTTTTTCTGAGACTTTTATAGAACGATTAAGAAAAAGAAAAAGATAAATGTCACCTATTATACCTGAAATGGCAATTTTGATAGAAACTTTTCATACGAGTAGTCATTTAGTATTTTAAAATATATTTTTTTCACTAATTTATCCAGGCATTCATTTATCTTTCTATCATGGATATTAAAATAGGAAAGATTGATATACATGCCAGAGGGGCATGTGTTAATGGTGTAAAACTCTGGTTTGAAATACCTAGACACTGTGGAACCAACAGTTCAAATCTAGATGGAGCACAAACTCTTTCATCCTTTTCAGATAAACAGATTGAGTTCCATGCAATTGACTCTCTGGAGGTCTTTCAGATTGGACTTTAAAGGAGCAGTGTCATCTGAAGTTTGGCTCAAAAATTAAAGCAAACTTTTGGAGAACTCTAATTCAACAGGTTTTTAACACACATTCCAGCACAAACTGTGCAGTCAAGAGCTTTTTTAGGTTAGAGATGATGATAAACAAAAATAAGCCTTTAATATAGGTTTTTAAGGCAGCAGAAGAAAGGATACAATATTAAGTAGTGAAATGGCAATTATGAAGCGTACGATCTACTGGCACTTTAAAGTCATAGGAAAAAAATGTTTCTTGGAAGCCCAGCATTTCACTCCAGGTCTGTACAGTCATTTGTTTTCAAGATTTTCAGTTAAGTGGTAGCAAAAACAAATATATTCATTCATATGACAGGCATTAACTTTCCAATTAATCTTCATTTTTTTGAGGAAAGGAAATTTTTGCTTTGTATCAAAATTTTAAGTTCATCACAATCCTTATTTCTTCTTTAGGGCAATGATTTCCACTTTTTCCTTTTCCTATGACCGTATATGATTTTCCTTCTGTTCTGGACAGTGCTACGGGATGGGTATTCTCTCAGAGTGAGCACATAAGAACAGTTGAAAAATGTAATCATACGAATATTTTTAAAAAGAAAGCTGCTTTACCAAAGCATGATAGACTTGTATTTTTTACGATGAACCTCCTGGTTCATCTCCTGCCAAAGGTGAACAATCTTAATTACTTAAAATTAGCTGTACCGGAGATTGTTTCCCTCTATGTCATACTCATTGCTGCAATACAGTTCATAAAATGTTAAGATGTTACTCCGTGCACTGTAGTCAAGACAAAGCAACAGTCTGTTCCTTGTGTCATTTACTGTGATGTTTCTAATCATTGTAACTTTTTTAGTATTCTTGACTGTAACAGCTGAAAAAACAAAGATATTTATTGAATGGTGCAAAAATGGAGAAGATAGGTCCATTCTGAATATACTTTGTTACTTACGATTAATTAAAATTCCTATGAGCTTTTGACATTCTGATCCATAATTTTTACCTTCACCTTCTTTCAATCTGGCAATACACATATTAATTGCAATTTTCATACTAACAGTTTTTCAGTAAGATGTGTATGTTGTAAACTTCAACAAACTTTACTGAGTGTGTATTAGTATATACGTGGGTGTATGTGTATACACACACATATTCATGACCGAAAAGAAATAATTTCCTCTAAAATAGAAACAAGACTTCATGGATAAAAACAGGGCTTAGGAATGATCCAGCCCATGGTATATGTGTGTGTGTGGTGCGTTGTCTCTGTATGCTAAACTCGACTACCCGAAGACAAAGCGGTAGTATCCTTAAGATACATTAGAGTTGTATAATATTGTGTCATTAAACTTTCACATTTCACTTATCTCCTTAAAAATTTGTCTTATTAAAATATGTTATATTTTAATACCCCAAAGAGTTTAGCACCATCCAACCATTCCGTTATTACACCATCCTTTGTTAGGTTTATTATGACAATGACTGGGGATGGACTAAGGAGACATTGTCCCTGTGCAATACACAAATATAAAGTAGTAGGAAATCTCTCTTCCCAAGATCTAAAAGTCAAGATGGAGAGGAGTATAGGAGAAAGTTGATGATACAGAAAATGAATAAGGTAGTAGTCTGTTAGGTTCGTGGCATGTTTTATCTTTCTCATAACTGGGGTTCTTCAGGGTATGCAAATGTGCAGAAAGAGTTCTGATGGCATTATTACGTGCTAAAGTTTTACAATAGAAACTGATAAAGTTCTTTCTATGATGGAGAATGGAGTTATCCCTACAAAGTTTTGTGCTGTGAAAGATACTTTTAGGAGAATAGATAGTCCAGTGAATATTCTCCCCATTCTCCCCCAAAAGTTTCCTTGTTCCGTGTCCAAGATGGATATAGTTCAGTTGTGAAAGAATAGCCTTCGTGTGCATTAAAATAACCAGATTTTTTAAATTAGATTTCAGAGCTGTCGGTGAGACTTAGTATTCACTCCTCTAGATAGAGGATAAGGTATAGTGGATCTTAATTTTAAAAATATGTTTAGCAGAGAATGCGTCTTTTAGATCAATTGCCTTTAATAATCAGTTGAATTTCAGTAACTCCAAGATACATGGTTTGGAACTGGAACTGTCTTAATCCAACTGTTGACGGATTGGTCTCTTGCAGAAGTATTATTTCACCCATAGGTTTCCCTCCGTTAAGTAATTCGCCTGTGCAGATTGTCAGCTTATGACAACCCCATGGTGCAACATTGTATAATCCTTTAAAAAAAAGATTAAAAGGTATGTAGGTAAAATTATGCACTGTGAAGGGGGAAACGATGATGATATATTGGCAGCTTTCACATTGTTTTTCATACGAAGCATTACAGCTATTTTAAAATCATGGAGTAATGTAGGTTGGAAGGTACCTCTATAGGTCATCTGGTCCAAAGTGTTTGAGCAAGGCTAACTCGATGAGGTTGTATAGGGCCTTATCTACCTGAGTTTTGAATCTCAGGATGGAGATTCCAAAACCTCTCTTGGCATCTGTTCCTGTGCTGACTCACTGCCATAAATGTTTTTTCCTTATGCCTAGTAAG